AAGTAGCACTGCTTTTGAAAAAAGTCTTATGCTCACCCAAAAATACAACTGTAAAAACAGTATTATTGTGAAATAGTATTACAATTTATAATAACTGTTTTCTATCTGGATATATATTAAAGTGTAATTTATTCCTGTGATGCAAAGCTAAATTCTTCTTCAGTGTCACATGGTTCTTCAGAAATCATTCTAATATGCTGACTTGCTGCTCAAGAAACATTTCAAAGGAAAGAACCAAAGACACACACACAAAAATTTATATGAATATGAATAATATATGCAGTAAAAACAGTAATATAGTCAAATATTATTACTAATTTAAAATAACTGTTTTTTTATTTGAATACATTTTCAAATGTAATTTATTCCTGTGATGCAAAGCAGAATTTTCTGCATCTTCAATGTCACATGATCCTTCAGAATTGGTGCTAAAGCAACATTTCATATTATTATCAATGCTGAAAACACTTGTGCTGCTTAATATTTTGAGAAAAAAAACATTATACATTTTTTTGGATACTTTCATAAACAGAAAGTTCAAAAGAACAGCATTTATTTGAAGTGGAAATCTTTTTTAATGCATCCTTGCTGAATAAAAGTATTATTTTCTTTTAAAAAAATGTAAACTTTTGAAAGTACAGTTTTTAAAGTACTTTTTAAAAACTTCTTTTAAAGACGCGTTAGCTTAAAGGGGTCCTATTATGCTCTTTTACAAAGTCTTGATTTTGTTTTGGGGGTGTACTAGAACAGGCTCTCATACTAGGTTGTTCGAAAAAAACATTATTTTTCACATATTTTACATTATTACACCTCTCTCCCCAGTCTGGCATGAACGAATAGTTCCTGTATCAAATGAAGGCCCGCCTGCTGAAAGACGAAATGTGGAGTTTTGTGGAGAAAATGTTTGTCTAGCAAAGAAGAAAGTATTTCGAGTGCACGAAAATCAATTTTGCATTTAAAATAAGTTTTTGGATTTGTGCAGACCTTCTCTTTTGCTTGTGCAATGTTTCACTAGTTTGCTCACCTGATGCCCGCCCTCAGTGCTCTCTAAATGCCAACAGCTCCTTGGCTCAACACAACCCAGCGTTACAATATGCCATAATTCCAGCCAATCAGAGACGAGGCTGCTAAATTCTGATTGGCTGCCTTGACAACCAATCACAACATTCCTTGCATTACCTCAACAGCAGAAGAGGAAAAATACAGTGCATGCATAATTATTATGCAAGTTGATATTCTCCAGAATTACAAGGTGTCAGGTTCTCAGAGACTTAGGTTAAGTACTTAATAAGAATCACATAATGAAGTGTAGTAAAATACTTGAAGATATATATATATAGGGTTTATAGACAGATAAATTGAGAGTAACTCTTGAAGGACCAGCACCACATCCTCTTGTACCACTGTTTGAAGAATTTATCTTCCAGAATCTGGCAGTAAGTTTTGGGAGTTCATTTTTAGTCCATCTCGAGATTTTATCTGTAGAAGATAACCTGCTTAATAATTATGCCCACCTGGTGTTGAGCAAGGGAGCCGTTGGCATTTAGAGAGCACTGAGGGCGGGCATCAGGTGAGCAAGCTAGTGAAAAGTTGCACGCGCAAAAGAGAAGGTCTGCACACATCCAAAAACTTATTTTAAATGCAAAATTAATGTTAGTGCGCTCAAAATACTTTTTTCTTTGCAAAATTAACATTTTCTCCACAAAACTCAGATTGCGCGCGTGCAAAATGCACTTTTGTGTGCTCAAAATGATCTTTCGCGCGCAGAATTGTGGCAGAGATCTAACCCTATAGTCATGCCCCTTACCATAGCCGCATACGAGCTTCAGTGTAAATATTGCGTCAATATCAAATCAATTTGAGCGTGATTTAAACCCAGATGATTGTAACCACTCGTAAGTTCGTCTGCCTTGGGAAAACTAGTGCGTCTCCGACATAGTGATAACACTCGTTGTCTTCTCTAATGCAGCTCAACCAGGTCTCATCCCATTCGTCAGTATTTGTGATATCACAAATCCCGGAAAATATGCGTTATAGTCCAAACGAGTCGTTCGTTGTAGTTTTTGAAAAGTGATTTCTGTTAAATAAAATATCTCCTTTTGAAGTGGACTTTGA